TTGCAGATTGCTCGAAGAAACCTAGTGAAGAATCGGCTCTATTCGCTTCTAAGCACCCGCCATGCCGTTGACTCGCTCCTCCGATCCCCTGGTGTGGATCGACTGCGAGGTGCGGCATTCCTCTGCTCTGTCCCTCTGCCAGCCGCGACTGATCCATCGGGCGTGTAGATGACCGGCCTCGACCCGGACACCGACCAAGTCCTCCAGATCTGTTGCTTCATCACCGATGCCGACCTCAACCTCCTCGACCCACAGGGCTTTGAGACCGTCATCCACCACCCGAATTCGACCCTGGAGAGCATGAACGAATGGTGTATCGAGACCCACGGTCGCACAGGGCTGACGGCGGCCGTGCAGGCCTCGACCACCACCCCAAACGAGGCCGCAACCGCCCTCCTGGCGTATATCCAGCGATATGTGCCACAGCCCCGGCGCGGCCTGCTGGCGGGGAACAGTGTGCACGCAGACAAGGCGTTTCTGGCCAAGGGACCATACCAGGCAGTGCTGGAGTGGCTACACTATCGGATCGTGGACGTGAGTGCGCTCAAGGAAATGGTACGTCGGTGGGGGTCGGATGAGCTGCTAGGAGCTGTGCCGGGCAAGAGGGAGGTTCATCTGGCGCGAGACGATATTCTGGAGAGCATTGAGGAGATGCGATTCTACCGGGGGCGATTGTTCGGATAGCTGAGGGGTCTCAGCGTCTGAGCGTTGCAGGCCGACCGCAGAGTTCCCAGTCTACGGGAGGGGTAGATCACCACTACACAGTCACAGTACTAGATAGCTGGCTGGATGGATGCCCAATGGGCCGGGGATTGCAGCCGATGGCAGGATTTTTCCATGGTCTGCAGCTCGACTGCCGTAGTGTCTCGGAGGATCCTCGAATGAAGCTCTGGCCTGAGGTCATGCTGGCGTGGACCCCTCCAAGTGGGGGGCTGGCGATGGCGGCGTTGGGCGTAACTGAAACTAATCCATCCTAGTCTATATTTACTTGCTCCCCGCTCGTGTCTCGCCTGCCTCTCTTCCTCTTCTTCCCCTTTCTCCTATTTGCGTCCCTTCAACCCTTTTCCTCGCCTCAATTGTCGCTGAGCTTCTCCCACGGCTCCTTTATATACCCCGTCCATACCCCTCCATCTCCCTCCTCCATATCTCTATCCCCCCTCCACCATGTCTGTCCAGACTGTCTCCCTCACCCCCTTCACCGACCAGAAGCCGGGCACGTAAGTTCCCCCTTATTGCTGGCTGCCATCCTCCTGTCGGATCCCTCTCTCTGACAATCCCCAGCTCCGGTCTTCGTAAGAAGGTCAAGGTCTTCCAGGAGCCCCACTACTCCGAGTCCTTCGTCACCAGCATCCTCCTCTCCATCCCCGAGGGCGTTGAGGGCTCCTTCCTCGTCATCGGTGGCGATGGCCGCTACTACAACACCGAGGTCATCCAGAAGATCGCCAAGATCGGTGCTGCCTACGGTGTCAAGAAGCTGCTGGTCGGCCAGAATGGCATCCTCTCCACCCCTGCCGCTAGCAACCTCATCCGCAAGCGCCAGGCTACCGGTGGTATCCTCCTGACCGCCAGTCACAACCCGGGTGGTAGGTTTCCTTTGCCGCGTATTCATATTCTCAAACTGATGTCTTTCTTCTGGTAGGCCCTAACGCCGACTTTGGCATCAAGTACAACCTGGCCAACGGCGCCCCCGCCCCCGAGTCCGTCACCAACAAGATCTACGAAACCTCCAAGTCCCTCACCTCCTACAAGTACATCGACATCCCCGATGTCGACACCACCACCATTGGCTCCAAGACCTACGGCCCCATTGAGGTCGAGGTTGTCCACTCCACCACCGACTACGTCACCATGCTGAAGGAGATCTTCGACTTCGACCTGATCCGCGAGTTCCTCAGCACCCACAAGGACTTCAAGGTTCTGTTTGACGGGATGCACGGTGTCACCGGCCCCTACGGTGTTGACATCTTCGTCAACGAGTTGGGCCTGCCCGCTACCAGCACCATGAACTGCGAGCCCAAGCTCGACTTCGGCGGTGGCCACCCCGACCCCAACCTGGTCTACGCGCACGAGCTCGTCGAGAGCGTCGACAAGAACAGCATCCACTTCGGTGCCGCCAGTGACGGTGACGGTGACCGTAACATGATCTACGGCGCCAACACCTTCGTCTCCCCCGGTGACAGTCTGGCTATCATTGCCCACCACGCCAAGCTCATCCCCTACTTCCAGAAGCAGGGCGTCTACGGTCTGGCTCGCTCCATGCCCACCTCGGGCGCCGTCGACCGTGTGGCCAAGGCCCAGGGTCTGCAGAGCTACGAGGTGCCCACGGGCTGGAAGTTCTTCTGCAACCTGTTCGACAACCAGAAGATCTCTATCTGCGGAGAAGAGAGTTTCGGTACCGGTAGCAACCACATCCGCGAGAAGGACGGTGTCTGGGCCATTGTGGCGTGGCTGAACGTCATCGCTGGTGTGGCTAAGCAGAAGCCCAGTGAGACCCCCAGCATCGCCTCGATCCAGAATGAGTTCTGGCAGACCTACGGCCGTACCTTCTTCACCCGGTACGACTACGAGAACGTCGACAGTGACGGCGCCAACAAGGTTATCGCCACGCTGTCGGAGAAGCTCGACAACAAGGACACCTTCGTGGGCTCGACCGTGTCCGGCCGCAAGGTCGTCGACGTGGGCAACTTCGCCTACACCGACCTGGACGGCAGCGTGACTAAGAACCAGGGTCTGTACGTCAAGTTCGACGACGGTAGCCGCATTGTGGTCCGTCTGTCCGGCACGGGCAGCAGCGGCGCCACCATCCGTCTGTACATCGAGAAGTACGAGAGCGACGCCAGCAAGTTCGGCCTCGCCACGGACGAGTACCTGAAGGACAACGTGGCTCTGGCTCTGGAGCTGCTCAAGTTCAAGGAGTTCATTGGCCGCGAGGAGCCTGACGTGCGCACTTAGAGGGAGCATATATGTTAATAGCCACGGTATCCAGTATTTAATAAATAAATGTTCATAATCATTGCATCCTTTTTCCTGCTTGTCCATTGCTCTGTACATCTAGACCGTCCTATCCCTGACATTAAAGCATTATAGTATTCCCGTCGTGCCTATGAATCATATATAAAATCAATGCATACCAGTCATAACATCGTAACCAATCCCCACCACTTACTCGCTCGCTCACACACCAACTACAACAACCCCCCGGTCTTCTCCGTCCACCATTCCCTCCACTTCACCACCTTCTCCTCCCTCCTCGCCTCCTCCGCCGCAAACACAACCGCATGACTTCGAACCGCCTCCTCCAAATCACACCCTACGAATCGTCTCTGCGCCTCCCGCACCCCAAATCCCTTATTCACCACCGCATCGACCGCATCTACAAAACTCCTCGCCAGACCATAATCCCCGCCGCCGTGCGCCTTCTCCTCCTCTGGCGGGCGCTTCGGCACTGTGATGGCTGTTGTTTCTCGCGTCTGGAACGAATAAATGGTGATAGTGCGACTGTCGTAGGAGATCTCGCCGAGAGTGCCATAGATGCGGCCGCGGCGCTCGCATTGTTTCTCGGTGGGGGCGATCATATGGAAGAGCGCGGTTTTGGGCGCCTCGCCGTCCCAGGTGATGGTTACAGTTTGGTCGTCGCAGACGGTGTTGTCGGATTCGTAGACACAGCGGCCGTACCAGGGGCGTGAGTGGATGGTTTCCGAGGCGGTGGTGGTGGTGGTGGTGGTGGATGGGTAGTTTTCCCCGAGGCGGGCGAGGAGGTGAGATTGCGCGAGGTGGATGGATTCTGGAGTCAGGGGGGTATCTTTGTCTTTGCGCGGTGGGGTGATGACATCTTCGATGTCTTCGCAGACGATGTTCACTGGCCAGTCGAGGTCGCCTGTCGCGGCGTGCATGTCGTTGTAGATGCGGACGGCGCTGTACACGCAGTCGCGTTCTGCGGGGCAGGAGAGACAGTTGGTCGCGTCCCCTGCCGCGGGGGGTTTGCGTGCTTTGCGGAATTGCGTTAGGGAGCCCGAAGAGGTTATTGTTCGGGGGTGATGGGGTGTGGTTTCTGTGTCTGTGGGAGGGCTAGAGAGTAACCACATGATGAAGTCGATGTCGTGGCAGGATTTGGTCAGTAAGGACCCGTCCCCATGGGGGGTCTCGCGACGCCAGTTGCCGCGCACATAGCTGTGCGAGAAGTGCCAGAAGCCGACAGGTTCGGTGTGTTCGAGGGAGACGATGTCGCCGATCACGCGGTCGAGAAGGAGGAGTTTGCGGAGGAGGATGTTGTGCGGGCTGTAGCGGAGGACATGGCCGATGGAGAAGATGCTGGTGGAGAGGTTAGGGGTGAGGGCGCGGTAGACGGAGAGGCAGTCGTTCAAAGACAGGGCGAGGGGCTTCTCGCAGAGGATGTGGAGACGGAGGGGGGCGATGGCGTGGAGGATCTCGACGTGAGTGGAGTCGAGGGTGCAGATGAAGACCCCATCGACGCCGACTCGGGGATCATTGTTAGATTCGCGGCGCTGTAGCTCCCATTGCAGCCAGGAGCGCCAGTTGGGGAATTCCTGGCCGTCTTGGGGACTGCCGTGCTCGCCCCAGATGTAGGAGCGGCCGAGGTGTCGGCGCTTGAAGGAGTGGGGTTCGGCGACAGCGTGGATCGAGCCTTGGGTGGCAGTGGTCACGGCTCGGGCATAGGCGGTGCCGCGGGATCCGGCGCCGATAATGAGGAAACGGAGGGGTCTAGGGGAGGAAGTGGGAGGGAGAGAGACTGGAGAAAGGGCTGGTTCTTTCATGGTAAGGTGATTGAGGGGTGTAGAGAAGAGGGGAGGAGGAGGGCTCATATACAAAGTTTCAGTACACAGTAGAACTCCGCATGGTAAGGAGGATCGCCGGGTGCGGATGATAAAGCCCCGTTGCTGATTGGTCAACCAGCGCGGGTCGCAGCTTATGTCACTGTATTACTGGATGACAACACCATTAAGCTCAAAACCTTCTTTGGGCCAGCAGCGTTAACCCAAGGCAAGGTGGTCGAGTGGTTAAGACGTAAGACTGTATGTTGCCCAGCCGTTTCCAGCAAGGAAATTTTCATACTAATTTCAATCCAGTGAATCCTAACGGAGTTATCTTATCCCTTCGGGGTCGCGCGTTCAAATCGCGTCCTTGTCGATTTTTTTTTTCTTCCTCCTGACCAAATCAGAGAAGCATGGGCATCGTCTGTCATGTCGATCATTGGCACGGTTCCAATGGAAAGAGGCCGGATAAACTGGGATAGGATCAATGAGACCTATGGAATGTATGTCCAACGAACTGGTAGAGTTGTATCGGAAACTAGGTCGTAGGCCATTTTCAAAAGGAAGCAAGGACAACGCGCATAGTAGACATTATTCACATTGATAGATTATCACTAGACTAGATGGGCCATCGACCCACAATAAATGAACATAAAAAGAAATGAATTGGGGTATCCATAAGAAAGCAGGCTAGCAAGTAGTACAGAATCCAGACATGATCACCATGGCCAGTCCGGGACACCACCCGGAAGCCATATTTATAACTCCTCCACATATGTACAGAGCTCCAAGTATATACCCACATCCCCTGAGCCTCTTATATACTCTCCGTAAATCGACTTCCCCGGCTGCCATCGAAACTCGGATGGCTCCGCCCGAGCGCATCTGGCCGCTTGGGCATGGTCGGAGATAGAGCGCCCGGGACAATGACCTGGGAGACGATACGCGGCGCACCAGGTTCATTGGATAGACTGGCACTGGTCGACGTCACTGTCCGGGCTGGCGATGGTCGGAACACCACCATGCCCCCCGATTCCTCCGCTTCTCGGGTATAGCTGGCATCCAACGGCATACCATACGGCGTCGTCAGAGGTGGTTGCGTCGCTGGCGACCGTGGCTGAACAGGCGAGCTCGGGGAGAATATTGTACTCGGCTCGGATGCCGTAGGCGATCCCGGTTCAAAGCCACCGCCGTACCCGTCCCCTCCTGACTGCAGCACTGAAGGGATTTTCCGACCGGAGATCTTCTGGAAGCCGCGCTCACTGGGTTCAGAGCTTACAGTACTATCCTCGGTGTGCGTGGTCATGTGCGACTGGCGCCACCGCTTCATGAACGCTGGGGCAAAGTATGACGCTGTGAAAAGAGGGTCATCGCTGGACCGCCGCGACGCCATCTCCGCTGAGCGGGGGACAGATCCTTCAGCAGTTCCGGTCGTGTCTGGTTCAGGAAGTGCATCCCCAGACGGGGGCAGGATATTCTTCCTGCGGCGCCGGAGCAGCCAGACCACAAACACGAACACAAACATAGCGGCAGCCACGCCACCAACTACGCCGCCGGCGATCTTGCCCTTAGTCTGAGTGCTTAGAGACCCGGACCCAGAGCCAGAACCGGAGCTAGAAGTGGAGTTGGAGCCTGAGCCTGAGCTCCCAGAAGAGAATGACGTTTCCGAGGCAGCTTGTCCAGTGGCAGTTCCTCCTAATCCTCCGCTCCCACCATTCGAGGCTGTAGTCCAGGCCCCATAATACGAGTCGGTCGAAGTGGATTCGGAAGAGAAGACGGATGTTGTGGCAGAGCTTGTCTGGGACACAGAGGACGTCGTCGTGGATTGAGAACCGTAGCCGAATGCAACGCCGGAGCTGGAGGCCGTCACTTGACTAGCGTCCTGTGTCCCACTCGTATTAGAGCCGGACACCGCGCTCGACGGTTTGATGGATGTTGAAGAAGGGAGAGAGGGTGCGGTAGAGCCGAACAACGGAGTCGATGTCTTTGACGATGCGGGGGCGGACGAGGGTGGAACAGACGATGATGGTTCAGGTGTACTTGTCACTGCCGGTGTATCTGCAGTTGGAGAGGAATACGCAGGAGAAGCAGTCAGGGGTACTTCAATCGAGATGGTAGCGGAAAGCGACAAGCTAAAGGAGTCTGATTCGGTTGACAAGTCGGTTGTTACGGGCACGGTCGACTCGTCGGATATTGTGGTCGGAGCGGTTGCTGAGGTACCGGAGCTAGTCTGCGAATTGTTATCGACCACGTTGATCACGGTTGCAGACACCATAGTCTGATCCCCAGTGGCCGTATCGGATTGTTGTCGCTTTTCGAGCAATTCTTGGCTGTCATGCACCTCTTGCTTCTGCATCTCCGGGCCCAGAATCAGGTCGTTCTTCAACCCAGCTACGACCGTCTCGGGGGATATGGTTGCTGGTTTATCATGGCGATTTTCGCGCATCTGCCCGGTCTCGCTATAGTATGCTGAATCCAATTGATACTTCCTCCGCACTACCCTGTTGAACCGAGTATGTCCTGTGCCATGATGGGCCATCCTGGTAACATCCACGTCTGGTCGTTTGAAGTGATTGCTGCTGTTTCTGGCGGAAGTAAGCGCGGTGATTGTGGACTGCAACTTGCCGAATATCGAGGAATGATATATGAGCAAATGCCTCCAAAATAGAGCGATGGGCAGCGAAGTGAAGGAAAGGTGTCTGCCTGCACGACACAAATGCTGACTGTAAAAGAGTGCGGTAATCAAGTCGTTCGAAGGCGACTGAATAGTAAAAGCGGACCCAAGGAATGTAAAGAAAGAGACGATAGTCGACTTTTAGAAGATGGTAAAAGAGCGATGCCGAAGGCGAATGAATTAATCAAGTGTCGAAAGAGTGACTGCGGTAGAGTTGAGCTGATAAGCGTTTCCACGTCTATCAGAAGGCTCAAAATCGTAGCAAATACCAAGGAGCGGACGTCAGCTGGAATACACAGCCGACAAGAGTCAGGTAACTAGTAGTAGTGATAGGAGAAAAAGAAGAAGAAAGACCGAAAGGCATAGACAGAAATCTATTCATCAGGGCCAGGCACCCGTCAGCATCGAAGCAACATGCAGCGCACCCGCCACCTAACTCGCAAAGTCGCAATTGCCATTACATACCTGCAAAGAAAAGGACAAAAGAAGAAGAAACGACAGCGACAAATTTTTTTTTCTCTATATCGAACTATCCGTTTTCGGGCCTCGCAGGTAGATGTAATCTCAAATCCTCTGGGTCCCTAATCCATACTTGCCGAACAACCAAGTGAATTGAGCGAAAAATAATGCGCGCCGGTCGAAGGAATTAATATCACCACCCTTTCCTTCAGGGTCCGTCAGGTACCAGGTGGTGATTACTGGATGAATTTGTATGCCGTTTCCACACTTGACCCTCCCACCGGGACAAGGATCCACGCTTAGACCAAGGTTCCGGCCCCGGGACTGGTACCGTTCTTGCTTGCTCTGCTTGGGCCGCCGAGAAACTGTCTGCGTGGTTCGGTTGGGTCCTTTACGGCATCAATTCCCTCCGGACGGGTTTTTCCGCTCGCTCACGGGGTTAATGGGTGTTGGGATGAATGGCGGGCGTGGTCAAAAGATCCCCCGTCCACAGAATCCCGTCTGCTGCCTGCTTGCGATCTCCGCGAAGAATTGGGAGGGGAGGGGAAGAAGAGAAAGGGGGAAGGGGAAAGGAAGGTGGGGAGAGGGTAAAGAGGGGGAGGAGGGGAGGTGAAGAGAAGATGGTAGGTTAGGGTAAATTGGTGGTGATCGAGGGCGAAGAGGGGAAGGGGAGAAAGGTGCTTAGCAGGTCGAGGGAAGTGAGAAACAGAAAGGGTAGGGAAGGGAAGCAAGCGAGCAAGAGAGACAGACGGTCGAGACAAGCTAGACTAGTCGGTCGTTAGGCAGTCCGTCAGTCAGTACTAGTAGTGGTGGTAAATGACCCGCGTGGGAAGCATCGATCAGGCCAGGCCTAAGAATAACACCCGCCGGGTCTTAGACCTGCAGCGTCACTAAGGCACTTGTGGGTGCCGTACCGTCCCATCCCGGTCATGTACCACGCCAATACGGACTCGGCTGCCAACGCGCCTTTCTCACTTGATTGAGGACTGAGATCACGTAAGTAGGCAAGACAAGAGTGAGATGATTCTTCCTTTTGCTGCCTCGGCTGGGCAAGATTTTGCGACGGGGAAAACGGGGATTATACCCGACCGCGAAAATGCGATGATTCGCCGAGCTGCAGCTCCCCATGTACCCCGTCCGGAGATGGTAGCAGCCGCAGCCCTCATCCTTGTAATTGGTACGTGATAGTCCCTCCCTACCACCTACATATACATTATGTACGTACATATATTAACCATTGCTTTTTCGCTGGTTTGTGCCGCCAGTTCTCGCTGGCTGGCAGACAGGCAGGCATGCATGTGCGCATACGCCGCCTCGTACGACCGGTACAGTACGATAGACCCGACCCGAATTGGGGCATCGAATCATCGCCATTGGCCCGGCGCCCTGCCCGAAAGGGGGGTAGCCAAGCCTGAGTTTAATAAAACGCCGGGCACTAAGTTTCATTAGATGTTTGTTTACGCTGAAGTCCTGGACAGACAATCTAACTAGACCACGCCTGTTAATTAGAGGCCCGGCTGCAATATCATCCCGGTGCCTATCATATCCCTTCAACCACGGTTCTGTCCCGCGTGAGGGTCGTCTGACTCTGACCATTCCTACAGCAGGAGCTGGGGGTGTGGACGACTCCTGTCCATACCGAGCAATCGTGCATGCAGGTCAACCCTGCAGAGTGCAGACAGGGACAAAGACCACCTACTCCGTACCATTAGTACGTTGCGATCCTGTCTATTGCTTATGCTGCATGCACTAGCACGAACCCAACAAGGCATCATCAATACCTGCCTAGGTAGTGCCTACGTATGCCTTACTGTGTATGTCGATAAGCCCGAAATCCGACCCCAACGGCAGCAACACCTCCAAATGATAAGGAACAGCGCAACATCCACACGGCACATGCATCATCTAATCGAGAAGTCAGGTTATTAATCTGCTCCACGCAAAGTCTGTCTGGAGTCTAGACACAAGACACCCACAACGGTCAGTTCCCGAAGTTCTACCCTGTTCCTACGCAAGGGACCTCGTCTCCCGTAACCACTACTACGGACTAGCCGCCGCAATGTCACCACCACCACCCACTCTGCAAGGTACGCCCCATTTGAATCAACATCCTCCACCCATGAGCAGGAACTAGTTTAGCGATGCACGACGGTGTCTGGAGTACACAGTCCTCCATACCATAGGATTACTCTTATCATGCCCCAAAAGTAAGTCCATACTCAAGTCAGCTTATGGCCCTTCCA